TGAGGACTGAGGGTTATAATTCTGTATTTAATATTGTAATGTACTCATTTCCTATACTATCTTCCAGTTTATTGACATTTGACATTTATCCATCTCAATAATTCTCATCCGAGACACATCCTCACAGCATTGATTAATCAAACCACAATATCCACTGTTGCTTTTCGCCTGATTTTTTAAATTTTCCTCTCAATAAATTACTTATAAAAACTAACTTGCAGCGTGCAGAATCAAAATTTTCGAGCCAAAAAATTTTAAGCAACAAACCCTACCTCATCCTCCGCATTGCAATGATGCTCATAAATAGAGAAGAGAAACTTGAAGCGCTTCGAGAACAGCTTAAAATCTCCCCCAGAGCCCGTCGCGAGAGAAATCGCCTCAGAGTTGAGCACATCTAACTCTGACCTAATCGCCTTCTGAAACAAGAGAAATATCAAAACTGGGGCCTCGTCGATCGATTTTTTCGCACAATTCGTCGACGAAGAGGAAGAGAGCGCGGACGTAGAAGCTCCATCGGTCGAATTCGAACGAGTAGCCCCATTTTCTGCCCTCTCTATCTTAATCTCTCTTTTAAAAATGTGATCTTTTTCTGACTTTATTATCCTGTTTAATTTTTCCCCCATCTGGGCTTGAGAGATCGAGAGAGGGAGAGAAGGGACGGAAGAGGCGAGGGAGCTGCGTTGATAAGGGCGCGCGCTGAGCTCTGTGTCGGGTCCCACATCATGCTGACATAGCATACTATTGTTTACGTGCAAATGCGGGGCCCGCGACGGTGACTTGCCGTCCTATGGGTCCGGCGTTTGGTACGCTTCTTGCTTTGCTCCAATGTCAACGTCTAACACGAGCGGGGCCCAGCACACACATTTCTTCCACCCGTCAAAACGTGGACGGAGCAGTCCGATCTGTGCTGTGCTGCTGAACAGGGTAAAGCAGTAATTAGAGAGTTTTAAAATTGGGTTAATTTTAGAGCAAACCCCTTGCATTTTGGGTTGTCTAACAAAGCGGCACAAAACTTTAAACTTTTCTCACTGGATCACATATATTTTATTTGCAAATTGCAAATAACTAGAATTTTTAGAGGGAAAAAACACGAAATTTAGTGAAGGAGGTACGTCACCCAGTGGCGGATCCAGAATTTTTTAATAATGATATCACCACATAATTAATAATGAAGAATTTGCAAATTAAATTATTTATACTTAAAAATGTCCATTATTCTATAGTCAATGTGGACACTATAAATTCTTTTGGCTCTTAAGGCAAAAAGTGGTGTAAAACGCGAAAAGTTTCATACGAATAGAATAGCTTGACAACTTATCATTGTTTTAAATGGGTAATAATCAGGGTGTAAAATTATGAAATTACGGATTTTATCAAATAGTTAACAACTTACCGCAATTGAGGTTTGTAAAGGTAAGTTGTCAACTATATGCTTGAGGTGTGAAATGGTAAGTGACACAGTACAGAAGTGATAATCTTGGAATCCACCAAGGGGTGTTCTCTGAATCCGCAAAGACCGATCTTCGATTCCACGAAGAACTTCAAATCTATGAAGAGAATATTAAAAAGAAAAAGTTTATTGATGAAAAGTTATGCCTCTAGGGCTTATAATTCTCAGCTTAAATAGAAAATAAACAAGACTCCTAATAAGACTAAAATTACGAAGAAATAGAAAGTATCAAATTTTATCCTAAAAAGACTCCCTATAATAGAGGAAACAAATCATGAATCAAAACTGAATTTGTTTCATAATCTAATTTGACTCTAATATTAAATTTATTTTCTAATCTAAATAGACTCCAACTTTATTACTAAAAATAAATTAAAAGCTGATTATTTTCAGATTTTAGCTAAAACTGGGTATTATTGATGAGATTTAAAAAATATGACAATCTGGTTGGCTCCGTCTCGTCCTGATAGACCATTTACATGTATAATATGTCAGAATTCACCTTCCGGATTGAAAAATATGATTGTTTCTTTGCGAAAGTCAATAATACGTGTAAATATGTATTTAACTCATGATTGTCCGAATTCTCCCTTGTTGAAAGAAGCTCGACCCCAAGCTTATATTTATTAGAATAGTAATTTATTTATTAAATAAATTTCTTCTCTTGCAATGATCAGCATCCGCCTTATATTTAGCGTTGATTTTCTCCATTTGTTCTTTTACCTCCTCTGCTAGGACTTCTTCTATATCAAACTTATGTATGAATCTTTCCCATGACATGTGTATGTAATTGGCAACATGTGGTTCTGTAGTTAACATGAAAAACTCTTCCAAATTTTTTCCTTATTGCTTCCTATATTCTAGTGTCGGTGGCATCATCTCAACGTTGTTGAAATTATTGATGATCATTGCTTCCAAAAAAGAATTTTCTCCCTCATACTTCATACATAATTCTTGAAATTATTGATGATCATTGCTTCCAAAAAAGAATTTTCTCCCTCATACTTCATACATAATTCTTTCATCTTCTTTGCCTCGAGCTATTGCTTCCAAAAAAGAATTTTCTCCCTCATACTTCATACATAATTCTTTCATCTTCTTTGCCTCGAGCTCTCCACCAAGCAATTCACACATACCATCAATTGCCTCGCTCTCTATTTTATCATTCTACTCTATCAGAACATCGTTAATATGTGCAATATCGCTCATAACCTCTCTGAAAATATCATGCATAATATTCATCTTCACTATCATATCCCCATCAGCATCATGAATCTCATGCATGATGAGTGTTTGCACCTTGGGAGGAATTTCGGTAGGGACAGGTTCTTCTTTTTCAGTTACAACCAAGTCATAGATCTCTTCAGATTGCTTCAAGTTTTCTCCTAAAGCCTCGTTGTTTGTCACCAAGAGTCTCTTCTTCTTAGTAGTCTTTATCTTAGATGGCTCCTTTTCTGTAAGAGGCATAAGTACAATTTTGTGCCCATCCTTTTTAAGATATAAACATTGTCTCTACTTCTGTGGGTAGCTCCAATATCGAATTGGCATAGCCTACCTAAAAGCATATGACAAGTATCCATCTTGACCACATCACACAACACATCATCAACATAGCTGCGACCGATAGAAAAAGGTACCCGACACATCTCATCGTTCTGCACATAATTGCCCTTGCGAATCCAGTCGATCTTGTGGAGAGGCGGGTGTTTCTTTATCTTCAAACCTAACTTATTCACCATACGCTGAGACACAAGATTCTTTCTACTGTGACTGTCAATAATAACATCACAAACCTTCTGCATCACAGTGCATCTCGTGCGGAAGATATTATGCTCTGGAGATGGTTCTTCTTTCTTTATTGCTTCTTTAGTGCTCTTCCCAACTCTAAGGTCTTGCTTAGGGTCATTGTCGCTGTTGAATTCATCTTGTGGAGTCGGATCACGTCACTGGTGACCATCAACGCAATGTCAAACTCCTATCGTGTTCAGATGCTCTACTGCATACGCAAGTCGCTCTATAGCAGTCTTCATCTGATTAACATCAGTTTTTAACTTATCGAACTTAGTTCGAGAAATAGGGGCTTCATCATCTGCCATTGGATCAGAGGAACAAAGCTCTGATACCAATTGACGCAGCGCAGAAGTGATAACCTCGGAATCCACCAATGAGTGTTCTCTGAATCCACAAAGAACGATCTTCGAATCCATGAAGAACTTCGAATCCACGAAGAACTTCGAATCCACGAAGAAAATAGTAAAAAGAAAAATTTTATTGATGAAAAGTTATGCCTCTAGGGCTTACAGTTCTCAACTTAAATAGAAAATAAACAAGACTCATAGTAAGACTAAAATTACAAAGAACAGAAAGTAACAAATTCTATCATAAAAAGACTCCCTATAATAGAGGAAACAAATCATGAATCAAAAATTAAATTTGTTTCCTAATCTAATTTGACTCTAATATTAAATTTATTTCCTAATCTAAATAGATTCTAACTTTATTACTAAAAATAAACTAAAAGCTGATTATTTTCAGATTCTAGTCAAAACTGGGTATTACTGATGAGATTTTAAAAATCTGATAATCTGGTTGGCTCTGTCTCGTCGAGATAGGCGATTTACACATATAATATGTTAGAATTCACCTTCCGGATTGAAAAAAAAAATGATTGTTTCTTTGCGAAAGTCAATAATACGTGTAAATCTGTATTTAGCACATGATTGTTCAAATCCTCCATGAAATTGTCTGTTAAGCATCCTACATCAGTAAGTTTTAACTACATGTTTCAGGTATGAAATGGTATAAATACATGTAAGTGTTATTTCTGTCATGAAGTTAATATTATATCTCACTTATTACCTAAAAACCTTCATAAATACCAGCCATTCTTGAAGGAAGTGGTGTCACCGGTGTCATGTGACACCACTTCCTCCTATGTACGTAGACCCGCCAATGATGACACCTACAAATGACAAATGACGAAGTTTAGGATCTTTTCTCTAAATAATGTTTTAGTTATTTGCAAACTACTGACATAATGTCCACATTAGAAAAAAATTGAAGTTAACAGGATTCTGTGAGACACCACACGGTTGAGAAATGTTACGTATAAGATGACTAAAATTTAAGGGGTATTAGTAATCCTTTAAAATACATTGGCAGGAGCACGTGAAGGACTGGGGTAAGGCTTGTGGATGGCTGAGGCGGGCTCGTGGCGCTGGGTCGCGATCAGGAGGAGGGCGGGTTTGTTGACCGGGAGCGTTAAACATATCGGAGGTTAACCGTCACCTGGGGCCGAGGACAGCGATGGATTCGGCTTTATATTCATGGACTCTTCTGAGCTCAAAATCTTTATGGGCATAAATAACTTTGGTTATTCTTTGTAATTTTCAGTTTGATTAAATAAATCTTGTCTTACAGACATAATAATGCATAAATAAATATATATAAATATTCTCTGCGATGCGTTGTCATTAGTTGAGCTGCTTGAGCATCGTTTGTTAAGATTTGTTAATGCATTTTCCTGCGCAAGTTGAGGATCGGGTCCCCGAACTCGAAGACATCTCCCCTGCTCCACTGTCCCCACACTATGCAAGATCTTGTAGTCAGGTGTCATGCCTACTAGACAGTCTCTTCCCCGGATCTATACTGCAAGATACGCTTCTCTAAAATAGGAAAAGGTCATTGTTTCGGCATGCAAACACAAGATGGACGGTAGGTAGTAGCTATGTAGCACGGATACGGATCCGACACGGACATCCGACACGCCGACACGAGACAAATCCTAAAAAATACATAGGATACATGTGTTCAACACGTGTGTCCGACACGGACACGACACGACAGGGCTTCATGTTATGCATGTTCGTGCTTCATAGGGTAGGAGATTTGAGCCGAACGATCTAGGATAGTGTGTTTGGGGCGAAAAACTCTTAAATGGAAAAATGGTCAGCATTATCCAAATTAGAACAAGGAGCATTTAGCCCACCACAGATGATCTGAATGATTAGGAGGTTTCAATACGCCTCCTATGGTTCTAGGTTCGATCTTGAACAGGGAGCACTTCGACGACTTGGGAACCTGCTAATTAACATGAGCCCACGTCGGGAGGTTCAGACCTCTTTCTCGGCCAAACCCCCTCTTGACCCTGAAGTTAGACAACTATAGTCAAACAAAGTAAATTATTCGCTCTAGAATCA